ACAGTTGATCAGAGAATACCTGACAGGGAGGCATCAACGAGTCATGGTATGTGAAGAGGTGTTAGAATGGGAGCCTGTGAAGAGCAGGGTTCCACAAGGGTCAGTCCTAGGACCAGTGCCGTTTCTGGTATATGTCAATGACATGATGGAAGGGATAGACTCAGAAGTGTCCATGTTTGCAGATGATGTGAAGTTAATGAGGAGAATTAAATCAGATGAGGATCAGGCAGAGCTAGAAGGAGACCTGGACAGGCTGCAAGCCTGGTCTAACTGGCTCCTCGAATTTAACCCCGCCAAATGCAAAGTCATGAAGATCGGGGAAGGGCAAACGAGACTGCAGACAGAGTATATTTGGCCAAAGACTGCAAACCTCACTCAAGGAAAAGGATCTTGGGGTGAGTATAATACCGAGCACATCTCCTGAGGCGCACATCAACCAGATAACTGCTGCAGCATATAGGCGCCTGTTAAACCTAAGAACAGTGTTCCGGCACCTCAGTAAGGAATCGCTCATGGGTGTACACCGTGTACGTCAGGCCCATACTGGAGTATGCAGCACCAGTTTGGAACCCACGTCTGGTCAAGAACGTCAAGAAATTAGAGAAAGTGCAAAGGTCTGCAACAAGACTAGTCCCAGAGCTAAGGGGATTGTCCTATGAAGAAAGGTAAAGGGAAATCGACCTCACGACACTGGAAGGCAAGAGGGTTAGAGGAGACATGATAACGACATATAAAATACTGCGAGGAATTGGCAAGGTGGACAAAGACAGGATGTTCCAGAGATGGGACACAGAAACAAGGGGACGCAATTGGAAGTTGAAGACTCAGATGAGTCACAGGGATGTCAGGAAGTATTTCTTTTGTCATAGAGTTGTCAGAAAGTGGAATAATCTGGAGAGTGATGTAGTGGAGGCAGGATCCATACATAGCTTTAAGAAGAGATATGATAAAGCTCATGGAGTAAGGAGAGAGTGGACCTAGTAGCGACCAGCGAAGAGGCGGGGCAGGAGCTGTGAATCGACCCCTGCAACCACAAATAGGTAAGTATACACACACACACACACACACACACACACACACACACACACACACACACACACACACACACACACACACACACACACACACACACACACACACACGCTGCTACACCATCAGTGTGGAGGTGTTGTGGTGTGGTTGGTCACTGCCTCATAACTAACACACAACTGCCATACCTCGACACACTGCTTCTCGCACCTGCCCTCCGCTGCCCACCTCCATCTATAGATCTCTAAATATTTCACAAATCCCCGGTGCTGGGAATTCTTTAGTATATACGGTTTGAAGACTGTCTACCACACGATCGTTATTAAAACTGCATGTTACCTGTATACCACCAGTCAATACATTAATATATACAAAGGATTAAACTGCTGGTTATGTGGTGAGATATTCCTGTATATTTACACCGAGTCATACACATCTGTGTATATACAATATAGGGAGATATAAAGAGTTCTCGTTGTTTATGTATTTTGAGGGATGTTCACTAATTTTTGTATACAGTTAGTGCTATTATATACTTAAAGACATACGTTTATATGCGTCGATACACTGATACACACCTGCCAGTGTATATACACAGAGATACACACCTGCCAGTGTATATACACAGAGATACACACCTGCCAGTGTATATACACTGAGAGATACACCTGCCAGTGTATATACACTGAGAGATACACACCTGCCAGTGTATATACACTGAGAGATACACACCTGCCAGTGTATATACACTGAGAGATACACACCTGCCAGTGTATATACACTGAGAGATACACACCTGCCAGTGTATATACACTGAGAGATACACACCTGTCAGTGTATATACACTGAGAGATACACACCTGCCAGTGTATATAAACTGAGAGATACACACCTGCCAGTGTATATACACTGAGAGATACACACCTGCCAGTGTATATTCACTGAGAACACACCTGCCAGTGTATATACACTGAGAGATACACACCTGCCTGTATATCACTGAGAGAACACACCTGCCAGTGTATATACACTGAGAGATACACACCTGCCAGTGTATATACACTGAGAGATACACACCTGTCAGTGTATATACACTGAGAGATACACACCTGCCTCTGTATATTCACTGAGAGACACACCTGCCAGTGTATATACACTGAGAGACACACACCTGCCAGTGTATATTCACTGAGAGACACACCTGCCAGTGTATATACACTGAGAGATACACACCTGCCAGTGTATATACACTGAGAGATACACACCTGTCAGTGTATATACACTGAGAGATACACACCTGCCAGTGTATATAAACTGAGAGATACACACCTGCCAGTGTATATACACTGAGAGATGCACACCTGCCAGTGTATATATAACTGAGAATACACACCTGCCAGTGTATATACACTGAGAGATACACACCTGCCTCTGTATATTCACTGAGAGACACACCTGCCAGTGTATATACACAGAGATACACACCTGCCAGTGTATATACACAGAGATACACACCTGCCAGTGTATATACACTGAGAGATACACACCTGCCAGTGTATATACACTGAGAGATACACACCTGCCAGTGTATATACACTGAGAGATACACACCTGCCAGTGTATATACACTGAGAGATACACCTGCCAGTGTATATACACTGAGAGATACACACCTGCCAGTGTATATACACTGAGAGATACACACCTGCCAGTGTATATACACTGAGAGATACACACCTGCCAGTGTATATTCACTGAGAGACACACCTGCCAGTGTATATACACTGAGAGACACACACTTGCCAGTGTATATACACTGAGAGATACACACCTGCCAGTGTATATACACTGAGAGATGCACACCTGCCAGTGTATATACACTGAGAGACACACCTGCCAGTGTATATACACTGAGAGACACACACCTGCCAGTGTATATACACTGAGAGACACACACCTGTCAGTGTATATACACTGAGAGATACACACCTGCAGTGTATATACACTGAGAGACACACACCTGTCAGTGTATATACACTGAGAGACACACACCTGCAGTGTATATACACTGAGAGACACACACCTGTCAGTGTATATAAACTGAGAGACACACACCTGTCAGTGTATATACACTGAGAGACACACACCTGCCAGTGTATATACACTGAGAGACACACACCTGTCAGTGTATATACACTGAGAGATACACACCTGCCAGTGTATATACACTGAGAGACACACACCTGTCAGTGTATATACACTGAGAGACACACCGCAAACCGGGCCACGTGTATATACACTGAGAGACACACACCTGTCAGTGTATATACACTGAGAGATACACACCTGCCAGTGTATATACACTGAGAGACACACACCTGTCAGTGTATATACACTGAGAGATACACACCTGTCAGTGTATATACACTGCGAGACACACACCCCGGGTAATCCTCAGTGGCTAATCCTCCGGGTTAAAAATCCCAACAAAATCTCATATAACGTTGCAACAACTGAATCTATGAGGCACATTTTTTTTAATTTCGAAATATTTTGGACGGCCTACACAACTTGATATAATAAACTAAATTAAAGTGGGGGGCCGTAGGGGGCCGCGACCCCCACTTTGAGAACCTCTTCATTATGGGAGACATGAAAGTTAAGACACATGTGCAACATCTGGATATCTTTATTGTAGACGTTTCGCCATCCAGTGGCTTTATCAATACAGATTCTAGGACATAATAGGAAGACAGTAGAACTATATACAAAAGATGAGGTAATCAGTCCCTCGGCCTTGGAGTTAGTGTTCACAGCATCGTGGTGGAGGAGAATCTGGAGCAAAGACAAGAAGACTGGCGGTTATATAGGCGTCAGTGGATAAGGACGGGCAGCAGATGAGGGCATAGTCACTGGTAGGCGGGATTCCCCAGTGGAAGTTGGTCCTTCCCAAAGAGATGGGTTAGTTGCAGCAGCCGTGAAGAAGGTCTTGTAGATGTCCTCTGAACCAAGATTCCACGATGTTGCAGTGTCTGACAAGTTGTGCAAGTATCATGTGGGAGTTCGACACGTGGATTAGGTAAGAAATACTCACGTAGGCTGGTATTACGTATAATTACAGATAAGGTGGATAACCCCCTTACAGCCGTGACCTGCCTCCTTGCTCACTCTCGTATGACTGACTGACTGACTGGCCGCCTGTACCCATAGAGGGTCTTTGAATAATGCCAGGTCAGCGCAATATGAGTTCAGATAGTGACTCAGGCAGAGACGGTTGGTCGTGAGTCAACTGGCACAGTGGTTACTGGTAACTGGTTACTACTACTGAGACAAGAAAGGTATAAAATACCGACAATATGAAAGTTAAGACACATGTGCAACATCTGGATATCTTTATTGTAGACGTTTCGCCATCCAGATGTTGTACATGTGTCTTAACTTTCATATTGTCGGTATTTTATACCTTTCTTGCACAACTTGTCAGACACTGCAACATCATGGAATCTTGGTTCAGAGAACATCTACAAGACCTTCTTCACGGCTGCTACAACTAACCCATCTCTTTGGGAAGGACCTACTTCCACTGGGGAATCCCGCCTACCAGTGACTATGCCCTCATCTGCTGCCCGTCCTTATCCACTGACGCCTATAAAACCGCCAGTCTTCTTGTCTTTGCTCCAGATTCTCCTCCACCACGATGCTGTGAGCACTAACTCCAAGGCTGAGGGACTGATTACTCATCTTTTGTTTATAGTTTACTGTCTTCCTATTATGTCCTAGAATCTGTATTGATAAAGCCACTGGATGGCGAAACGTCTACAATAAAGATTTCCAGATGTTGCACATGTATCTTAACTTTCATATTGTCGGTATTTTATACCTTTCTTGCACATTATGGGAGACAACTGGATATTATCCAAGTGGAGGATCGCTCCATCTGGCGTCTCTCAGCATCCATTATCTGTCAACAGATCGCTATCAGCATTGGTCTGATGACGTGGGTGGTTAGACGTGCCAAGACCGAACTACACAAGACCGTGAATGCCCAGCTGTCAGACACCCAGCCCACCTTGGCCTCGCCCACCCACACTTCCACGCCCACCAGCTCACCCACCACGCCCACTCACACCACCAGTGTGACGTCCAACGACAACCTTCAAGTTGCAGGTGAGAGAGAGCGAGCGAGAGAGAGAGAGAGAGAGAGAGAGAGAGAGAGAGAGAGAGAGAGAGAGAGAGAGAGAGAGAGAGAGAGAGAGAGAGAGAGATGGGTGACTGGAGGAAGTAAGGGGGTGAGGCAGGTCAGGACTTGAGTTACAAGGAGTATTGCCCACGTAGTCTACATGGTATTTCCCCACATAATACACAGGGTATTACCTACATAGTCTACGGGGTATTGCCCATATAGTCTATGGGCCAAAATCAATATTTTCAATTCGCACTATCATTCTAAGTTGTAGATTCTGGTGAAGTGCTCTGCAGGGCTGTTCATACAGCATTAGTGGAAGTGAAACTTGTCTTGTGCTGTGAGAGGGTCACTGTGTTGATACCACGAACTTAGTGGTCAAGCTGACCAACTTTGGTCTAGCTCTGTCTGTTCAGCTAATCGACATCAGGTGTAGAAAGTGATATCAATATTATTCTCGCACTTCTCCTACCTAGAAGATTGTAGATCTGAATGACAGAGTTACTGGAAAATCTCTAGGCCTATCATTTCTCTTAATTGCCTGAGGTAGGAGAGTACCTGTCCACTGCCTGAGAGAACCTGTGTACTGCCTGAGAGTACCTGTGTACTGCCTGAGAGAACCTTTCACTGCCTGAGAGTACCTGTCTACAGACCAAAAACGATAACACCTGTCCACTGGAGCGTGAATAAACCTGAAATAGGAATGAGAAAGTTGATGCAGTACTCCCTGGAGTTATACATATTGCATCCATGTACGAACTTGTTGACAAACTTTTGGAAAAACTAGATATTCACGCGGGTCTCTGGTATGCAGTACAGAGCAACGAGCAGGTTCTGAACTCATTTATATAGGGGTAAGTTCATTCCAGATACTTTGCAGTGGTCTTAAACAACTTGGCAATGCCTGGTACACAACTTTGGTTGTCATAAATTATTTGAGTCAAAACCTATTAAGATTCTGATGGTGCAGTGTATGTCCGGGGACATAATGTTGGGACTAATGTCGGGACATACATGTCTTGGTCAGTTGGAAATACATGTTTCTGGGTACTCTGGGACATACTCTCCAGTCATATGCAGCCATGTTCTCGACTCATTTCATAGGGGCTAGTCCATTCCCAGACTACTTTGCAGTAGTCCTAACACAACTGCACTGCTGGTAACACGTTGGACTCGAGTTGAGTCTATCATATCTGAGTCAAACCTTATAGTTGTGTGATCATGTCGTGTCTGGGACACTACACTCTCCAGCCTATCATTATTGGCTGTCTGGGACACTACACTCTCCAGCCTTCATATTGCTGTGGGACACTCATCTCTCCAGCCTTCATATTGCTGTCTGGGACACTACACTCTCCAGTCTTCATATTGGACATGTCCTGGGGGACACTACACTCTCCAGCCTTCATATGACACACATGTTCATCTGAGGTAGTACTGTCATGGAGAGAACACTACACTCAGTGAGAATTGTAGCCAGTCACGTCTGCCTATACTGGACAGAACTGTCTCACTCATGAGGCGGTTTATCTCTGGAGTACCGTTGACGCCTCACTACCTCTCAGATGAAGCTCCTGTTCACAGACACACGGTCTAGTCTTGACCTGCAGTACTTATGACCTGAGGAGTTAGATTCTAAAAAATGGGATGCAGGTTCAGGCATTTAGTGCATCGTGTAGTCACACTTGGAGTGCAAATCTGTACTGACCTGTTTCGAGGGTGGAGAGAGGCCTGAAGAGTTTTTGTGGGTTTGACATCAGCATAGTGCTTGAGTAGACAAAATTGACTGGGAGTACATATTGTACTCTGAAGGGTTTACAGTTCTATGGGAAGTACAGTGCCATGTCTCGAAGGTTGCAGTGGATTTACAGACTGGATGAGTGAATACAGGTCTGACCTTGTACTCTGAGGATATTAAGTTGTAGGTGAAGTCGTGCCTACTCTGAAGGACTTGAAGTTTGGAGGTGGGAAAGTACAGTGCCTTATCTGAAGGATATGAGGATTTACATCCTGCAGGGGGACATACCTGTACTTAAGGATGTTGGACATATCTGAGTGGGAAGTACAGTCCTGTACTTGAAGGATATTCACCGTTCTGGAGGTGGAAGTACAGTACCTGTACTCTGAAGGATAGTTACAGTCTGAGAGGTGGGAAGTACAGTGCCTGTACTCTGAAGGATGTTTACAGTCCTGGAGGTGGGAAGTACAGTACCTGTACTCTGAAGGATATGTTACAGTTCTGGAGGTGGGAAGTACAGTACTTACCTGAAGGATGAGTGAGGATGTTACAGTCCTGAGGTGGGAAGTACAGTGCCTGTATCTGAAGATGATGTATACAGTCCTTGGAGGTGGGAAGTACAGTGCCTGTACTCTGAAGGATGTTTACAGTTCTGGGAGGTGGGAAGACAGTCCTGTACTTGAAGGAAATGGAGTGAGGATGTTACAGTCCTGGAGGTGGGAAGTACAGTGCCTGTACTCTGAAGGATGTTACAGTCCTGGAGGTGGGAAGTACAGTGCCTGTACTCTGAAGGATGTTACAGTTCTGGAGGTGGGAAGTACAGTGCCTGTACTCAGAAGGATGTTACAGTTCTGGAGGTGGGAAGTACAGTACCTGTACTCTAGAAGGATGTTACAGTCCTGGAGGTGGGAAGTACAGTGCTGTACTCTGAAGGATGATGGGATGTTACAGTCCTGGAGGTGGGAAGTACAGTACCTGTACTCTGAAGGATGAGTGAGGATGTTACAGTCCTGGAGGTGGGAAGTACAGTACCTGTACTCTGAAGGATGTTACAGTCCTGGAGGTGGGAAGTACAGTGCCTGTACTCTGAAGGATGTTACAGTCCTGGAGGTGGGAAGTACAGTGCCTGTACTCTGAAGGATGTTACAGTCCTGGAGGTGGGAAGTACAGTGCCTGTACTCTGAAGGATGAGTGAGGATGTTACAGTTCTGGAGGTGGGAAGTACAGTGCCTGTACTCTGAAGGATGTTACAGTCCTGGAGGTGGGAAGTACAGTACCTGTACTCTAAGGATAGTGAGATGTTACAGTCCTGGAGGTGGGAAGTACAGTGCCTGTACTCTGAAGGATGTTACAGTCCTGGAGGTGGGAAGTACAGTGCCTGTACTCTGAAGGATGTTACAGTCCTGGAGGTGGGAAGTACAGTACCTGTACTCTGAAGGATGTTACAGTCCTGGAGGTGGGAAGTACAGTACCTGTACTCTGAAGGATGAGTGAGGATGTTACAGTCCTGGAGGTGGGAAGTACAGTGCCTGTACTCTGAAGGATGAGTGAGGATGTTACAGTTCTGGAGGTGGGAAGTACAGTACCTGTACTCTGAAGGATGAGTGAGGATGTTACAGTTCTGGAGGTGGGAAGTACAGTGCCTGTACTCTGAAGGATGTTACAGTCCTGGAGGTGGGAAGTACAGTGCCTGTACTCTGAAGGATGTTACAGTCCTGGAGGTGGGAAGTACAGTGCCTGTACTCTGAAGGATGAGTGAGGATGTTACAGTCTGGAGGTGGGAAGTACAGTACCTGTACTCTGAAGGATGAGTGAGGATGTTACAGTTCTGGAGGTGGGAAGTACAGTACCTGTACTCTGAAGGATGAGTGAGGATGTTACAGTCCTGGAGGTGGGAAGTACAGTGCCTGTACTCTGAAGGATGAGTGAGGATGTTACAGTCCTGGAGGTGGGAAGTACAGTACCTGTACTCTGAAGGATGAGTGAGGATGTTACAGTTCTGGAGGTGGGAAGTACAGTACCTGACTCTGAAGGATGAGTGAGGATGTTACAGTCTGGAGGTGGGAAGTACAGTGCCTGTACTCAGGTGATGAGGATGTTACAGTCCTGGAGGTGGGAAGTACAGTACCTGTACTCTGAAGGATGAGTGAGGATGTTACAGTCCTGGAGGTGGGAAGTACAGTGCCTGTACTCTGAAGGATGTTACAGTCCTGGAGGTGGGAAGTACAGTACCTGTACTCTGAAGGATGAGTGAGGATGTTACAGTCCTGGAGGTGGGAAAGTAACAGTTTTTCCTTACTCAGGTGATGATGATTGTTACATATCCTGGATGTGGTTAAATATAAGACATTATGTACCTGTAATTATGATAGGATGTATAAATACCTGGAGATTGAATACAGTACCTGTACTCTGAAGGATGATGAGGATGTTACAGTCCTGGATGGAAGTACAGTACCTGTACTTGAATGATTTAACAGTCCTGGAGTTTGGTGAAGTACATTACTGTATAATGAAAGGATGTACTGTCCTGGAGTGGGGAGTACGTACCGGGTACTAAGGATGTTACAGTCCCGAGGTGGGATGGAGCTAGTACTGGTACTCTAAGGATGTTACAGTCCTGCCATGAGTCGTGGGAAGTACATCCTGTACTCTGAAGGTATGATGAGGATGTACAGTCCTGGAGTGGGAGTGTCTACTCTGGGTACTCTGATAAGTACATGCATGTCGAGGTGTTACTAGTCCTGGTAGATGGATAACGTATCCTGTTACTCTGAATGATGATTACATGTCCTGGTGTGGTGAAGCTGCTAGTACCTGGGTACTATGAGGATGTTACAGTCCTGAGGTGGGTGGTCAGTCGTGTAACTCTGAATGAGATGTACATCCCTGGTCGGTGGAAGTCAGCCTGTACTCTGAAGAATGATGTGAGGATGGTACAGTCTGGGGTGGTGAATACAGTACCTGTACTTCTGAAGGGATGTTACTGTCCTGGAGGTGGTGAAGTACAATGCCTGTACTCGTGGTGGATGCTCTAGTTGAGGTACTATGAGATTACAGTCCTGTAGGTCGTGAAGTAAATGCCTGTACTCTGAAGGTATAGTGAGATGTATCCAGGTCTGGGTGGAGTCAGTAGCCTGTACTCTGAAGATGTTACATCCCTGGGTGGGGAGACATCTGCTCTGGGTACTATGAGATGTTACATGCCATGGAGGTGGGAAGTACAGCTCGGGTACTCTAAGATGATACATCGTCCTGGATGGTGGAAGTCAGTACTGTACTCTGAAGGATTTACCGTCCTGGAGGTGGGAAGTACAGTGCCTGACTCTGAAGGATATTCATGTCTGAGGTGGGAAGTACAGTACTGTAGCTCTGAAGGATGAGTGAGGAGTACAGTACGGCGTAGAGGTGCTCTAGCTCTGGTATGAATAATGTACATCCGATGGGTGGTTCTTCTGTGGGTACTACTGAGATAATCGCATGGTGTGTGGTGTACTAGTCATGGAGGTGTATAATGAGATAATCCCGCATGGTGTGTGAGTCTATGCTTGTACTAATGAGATAATGTATGGATTGGTGTATATAATATGTATAATGAGATTACAATCCATGTCTAGTGAGTGTTAACTGGTATTATAATGATATACATCTATGTCGTAGGTGTGATTATTGGTATAATGAGATACATCTATGTGTGTGTTACTCAAGTCTGTACTAATAAGATAATCGCCATATGATAGGTTGGAGCTCTAGTCTGGGTATAATGAAGATACCTACCCGCCATGGTCGTGGTGGAGCTCTAGCTCTGGGTACTAATGAGATACATCCCGTTATGGTCGTGGTGGAGCTCTAGCTCTGGGTACTAATGAGATACATCCCGTTATGGTCGTGATGGAGCTCTAGCTCTGGGTACTAATGAGATACATCCCGTTATGGTCGTGGTGGTGCTCTAGCTCTGGGTACTAATAAGATACATCCCGTTATGGTCGTGGTGGTGCTCTAGCTCTGGGTACTAATAGATACATCCCGTATGGTCGTGGTGGTGCTCTAGCTCTGGGTACTAATGAGATACATCCCGCTATGGTCGTGGTGGTGCTCTAGCTCTGGGTACTAATAAGATACATCCCGCCATGGTCGTGGTGGAGCTCTAGCTCTGGGTACTAATGAGATACATCCCGCCATGGTCGTGGTGGAGCTCTAGCTCTGGGTACTAATAAGATACATCCCGCTATGGTCGTGGTGGAGCTCTAGCTCTGGGTACTAATAAGATACATCCCGCCATGGTCGTGGTAGAGCTCTAGCTCTGGGTACTAATAAGATACATCCCGCCATGGTCGTGGTGGTGCTCTAGCTCTGGGTACTAATAAGATACATCCCGCTATGGTCGTGGTGGAGCTCTAGCTCTGGGTACTAATAAGATACATCCCGCTATGGTCGTGGTGGTGCTCTAGCTCTGGGTACTAATAAGATACATCCCGCCATGGTCGTGGTGGTGCTCTAGCTCTGGGTACTAATGAGATACATCCCGCTATGGTCGTGGTGGAGCTCTAGCTCTGGGTACTAATGAGATACATCCCGCTATGGTCGTGGTGGAGCTCTAGCTCTGGGTACTAATAGATACATCCCGCTATGGTCGTGGTGGAGCTTCTAGCTCTGGGTACTAATAGATACATCCCGCATGGTCGTGGTGGAGCTCTAGCTCTGGGTACTAATGAGAACATCCCGCTATGGTCGTGGTGGGCTCTAGCTCTGGGTACTAATAAGATACATCCCGCCATGGTCGTGGTGGAGCTCTAGCTCTGGGTACTAATGAGATACATCCCGCCATGGTCGTGGTGGAGCTCTAGCTCTGGGTACTAATGAGATACATCCCGCTATGGTCGTGGTGGAGCTCTAGCTCTGGGTACTAATAAGATACATCCCCATGGTCGTGGTGGAGCTTAGCTCTGGGTACTAATGAGATACATCCCGCTATGGTCGTGGTGGTGCTCTAGCTCTGGGTACTAATGAGATACATCCCGCTATGGTCGTGGTGGTGCTCTAGCTCTGGGTACTAATGAGATACATCCCGCCATGGTCGTGGTGGAGCTCTAGCTCTGGGTACTAATGAGATACATCCCGCCATGGTCGTGGTGGAGCTCTAGCTCTGGGTACTAATGAGATACATCCCGCCATGGTCGTGGTGGAGCTCTAGCTCTGGGTACTAATGAGATACATCCCGCTATGGTCGTGGTGGTGCTCTAGCTCTGGGTACTAATAAGATACATCCCGCTATGGTCGTGGTGGGCTCTAGCTCTGGGTACTAATAATACATCCCGCCATGGTCGTGGTGGAGCTCTAGCTCTGGGTACTAATAAGATACATCCCGCTATGGTCGTGGTGGAGCTCTAGCTCTGGGTACTAATAAGATACATCCCGCTATGGTCGTGGTGGTGCTCTAGCTCTGGGTACTAATGAGATACATCCCGCCATGGTCGTGGTGGAGCTCTAGCTCTGGGTACTAATAAGATACATCCCGCTATGGTCGTGGTGGAGCTCTAGCTCTGGGTACTAATAAGATACATCCCGTTATGGTCGTGGTGGAGCTCTAGCTCTGGGTACTAATAAGATACATCCCGCCATGGTCGTGGTGGAGCTCTAGCTCTGGGTACTAATCAGATACATCCCGCCATGGTCGTGGTGGTGCTCTAGCTCTGGGTACTAATCAGAAACATCCCGCCATGGTCGTGGTGGAGCTCTAGCTCTGGGTACTAATCAGATACATCCCGCCATGGTCGTGGTGGAGCTCTAGCTCTGGGTACTAATAAGATACATCCCGCCATGGTCGTGGTGGAGCTCTAGCTCTGGGTACTAATCAGAAACATCCCGCCATGGTCTCCGTCTATATGGCTTCCCTTACCCAGAATTTTCTTCTCCAGAGTCCATTAATATGTAAAATATATATAAAAAAATTAAATTTCTATGAAGAACTCAGAAAAAAATTTTGATCCAAGGGAAGTGAGTGAAGATAATCTCATAGTGAAGCTGAAATTTCATCTTCTGAAGTTGTGGGCGCAGCTAACCGAAAAGTTAGCTTTGGTAACCGCTAATCCGCTAACTAAATTAGCTCCGCTAAACCGCTAAACGGCCGAGAAAATTAGCGGAAGCTAAACCGCTAACTTTTCCACATGAATTCAGATTCAGTTTAGACTTTTGGCGTTTTACTTATAAGACTTTCAGTACAGACCTGGAGAGCTCCCTAATAAGATACAAAATACCAAGGTCATATGCTGATCAAGTGCCACTAGTGCCAAAATATCATATTTCTGTTCATGTTTACATTTAGCCTAAGATTTGGAGCCTAATAATCTACAAAGTAGTTGAAAGTCTTGCTTAAAGTTGAAGTTTTGAGGCCAACTTAAAGTCTGCTTAAAGTTAAGTTTGAGCAATTAAAGTCTTGCTTAAAGTTGAGGTTTAAGCCCACTAGTCTTGTCAGCTCGTTAGTTTGAGGCCAATGTGATCGCGTGCCACGGATCGACATAAAAGGTTAATTATGAGTGTGAACGGAGTAAGCTGGATGATACGGGGGTCAACTGCCCCGCGCCGGCTCGGACCAGGCCTCCTTAGTCGAGCTTAAAGATCGGACCCACACCAGTCACTAACCCGTCGCATTTAAATATGGGGAAACATAGACAAAAGTGATAGAAACATGCCCATTTTTCTTTGCTGGGAATCGAACCCGGCCTCGCCGTGGATGAGATGCGTAAAGCCACGCTTTTAGTCCCTGTCAGCATTTAAGAATTGTACAAATTGTATAAGAAGATAATGCCAGTATGTTCATTTTCGGGTATTAGTACGTGGAAAGTGGACGTGTATTATTTCCTGAAAGAGACCGTTTTATTTGTCATCAGGCTAAATGGTCATGCGGAGGAGAGAGGTTGTTTATTCAGTACGAGACGGTGGTGAATTTTAAGTTAACCAAGTGTACACAAAGCTTAATGATTTCTCCTCAAACTTGTGAACATGGGGGGCGTTTCTCTTAACATGTGACTCAAGTTGTAGGGCTCGCCACCTGTCCCTTGATAGGGGTTTCCTCTTAAACATGATTCAAGTTGTAGGGGCTCGCCACTGTCCCTGAGATGAGTGGTTCCTTAACATTGATTCAAGTTGTATGGGCTCGCCACTGCCTTGAGATGGGGTGTTTCTCTTAACATGTCAAGTTGAGTTAGGTCGCACCTGCCTTGATGGTGAATAGTCCATCTTACATGTGACCCAGTTAGGGGTCCCGCTTCCCTTGATGAGGTGTTCCTCTTAACAGCGCTCAAGTTTAGGCTCGCCCTGCCCGGATGATGGACTCCAGTCGACAAAGAGTCAAAACTGTGTCTCTTCCTTAAGACTTAGGACAAAATAGTCATCGAGGTGGGGCCACGATCAGTTCTTACTCAGTCGCCAAGTCTCTGACTTAACCGAAGCTGCAGACCCCAACAACTCAGGGAACTAAACGCTCCTGTTGAAAAGCAGTTTTCATATCAACAACTACCAAGTTTGAGACTTAAGACTATAACAATGTGTGCGCAGTCCTGAGGTCTCGTTTACCTAGTCAGCCAATAAGCGCTAAAGACTATGCTTGGAGAAACACCACGTACAGAAGGATAAAAGGTGTGCCTATTGAAAACTTATGTTTGACTGTCACAATGTATGAATTCAATTAGCGGAACTCTATTGCGAAACTTATTTAGGGGTTGTTGGTTATGGTTTCCGAATACGGAACGCTATCCGCTAAAGACAATGCTTTCCGACTACCAACAACGTATGAATTTTTTTTAGTGGGCTCATAGTTAGCGGAACTTTATTTAGCAGGAGTTAATTGGTCCGCTAACAGTTTCCAAAGTTAGCGGAAATTCTAATTCGCTAAACAAAAAATTAGTTTCGCTAATCAGCGGTTAGCGGATTAGCGGAACTGTTCCCACCACTGAGTCTCGGAAAAGAAAATTGTAGCTAAACGAGACCATATAGGCAGAGACCATAGCAGGATGCATCTTATTAGGACCCAGAGCTAGAGCTCAATCCCGACCATAATGGACCGACCGTACCGGGACTTTCCCTATTTACAGACGATGAAATAATAATATAATAATAATAATAATAATAATAATAATAATAATAATAATAAATTATTATTATTATTATTCTGATATTAATTTAATTAATGACATTAAGAATAAATAATATTTCAGGTGATAATTATGGATATGATGATAATGATGATGTTGGAGGTACGGATGATGAACTAATTCTGGCTGTTGGTGTGTCCCCCACCACCACCTCCACCCCCACCACCAGCACCCTCTCCACCTCCACCTTCACCAACCACCCCACCACCACCACTACCACCACCTCTACCACCACCACTACCACCACCACAACCACCACTACCACCCGCAGGAACTCCGTTGATGACATCCTCATTCTTATTGATGATTCTGCGTGACGTACTCTTCAGAAGGACTCGTCTCCTACCCTCCAGGATACCCAGCCAGTGCCCAAAACCTGACCCAGTACCCAACCAGCGTCTGCAGCCTAACAAGTGGGCATCAAGTCACAACTCACAGTCCATTAAGGTTCAAATTAACGAGAATAACAGAGGCGATGTGCGCCTTATGTCTGTTGATGATGCACTGACACCACGCTCACAACAGAGTACAACCAGTACACAACAGACACTCAACAGTAAGTACTCTGTTGAAGACTCTCTGACACCACACTCACAACAGAGTACAACCAGTACACAACAGACACTCAACAGTAAGTACTCTAGATGTACTATCAGTCCCAAGGGACTGTTGTCCCTTTACGCAACGGTATTCAACAGGACAAACAGTCAACATTCTGTGAAAGACAGAAAAAGACAACAGTAAGCAGCAGTCTGTGTTACAGCAGCAGTCTGGGTTACACTGCGTCTGTGTTACAGCTGCAGTCTGTGTTACAGCAGACTGTCTGTGTTACAGCAAGTTGGTTCACAGCTTGTATCACCACTCCACTGTGTAGGGTCTCAACACCTCTGGGTAGGGGTCTCTTAATCATATGGGGTGGGGAACTTTACTCCTCGGGGGTGGGGCCCTCTTCTACTCGGGGGAGGTGGAGCTCATATGATCAGGGGTACGTATGGGTTGTAAAATGGGAGTGATAATTTTCATAATGATATATTATAAATATAATGTAATATAATTATATAGTATAAATATAATGATAATATAATGATATATTATAACATATCATTTGATAATCTGTGATATATTATAAATATAATGATAATATAATGTATATTATAAATATAATGATAATATGATGATATATTATAATTATAATTATAATATAATGATATATTATATAAATTATACATGCATAATCTAATGATATATTATAAATATATTATAATATGGATGATATATTATAAATATAATGATAAATATATGGATATATTATAATAATAATGATAATAGGATGATATTATTATAAAATATAATGATTATATTAATGATATATTAATAAATATAATGATACTCTGATGCTATATTTCTAATTCTACATGATACTATAATGCTATATTATAAATATAATGATAATATAATGATATATTATAAATATAATTGATAATATGATGATATATTATAAACTATAATGATAAATTATGATATATTTTATAATATAATGATAATATAATGATATATTATAAATATAATGATAATATAATGATATATTTATAAATATATG